AACTTACGTTATTATGTCTATCTACAAATTAGGCATGTGGTCATGAACACTTAGTACTTCTAGTGAAAATTATTCAATAAAGAACAGCTAGAGGTACGCCCTGGGTGATCGAGGATATTTAGGCTCTTAACAAGAGGCAGTCCCGATCATTCTTACACAAGCTACCACTGCTAAATCCTAACTGACTAAATTGTATTTTAGTTTAATATAGTTTGAAGCCTAATAATTTCCATCGAAGTTTACATGAAGGGGATGTGGGTACCAAATTGCACGTTCTATACGATAGTGAGCGTTCGGGATATTGGGAACCGCGGTATGTGATTCGGAGTATGTAATTGGCGGAGAGTGCTGGTGTTTCCACGAGTGACCCCGTGGTTTTACTAGCTAAGACAGGCAATGTCGTTGTGCCCCCCTCTGTCGCACTAGGTACATGACAGGGTAGAGCGGTCCAGAGGGCACTTGTTGCCTTCTGTTGTGAGCGGAAGAGCCATAACGACGACAGATAGAGTCTGGACAGCCAAAATGCCGTGGCTGGACTGGCCACAAAGTCGACAAGGGGTTTAGGGTTTTAGGGGAGTAGGGGCGGGGGCGCAGCTGTAATCGAGAAGTGGAAGTTTGGTTGTGTACCACCATCGATAGTGGCTTTGTTAAACAGCCATGATGCCGGTGGCATGTTGGCACAGAGGTGTCGAGCTGACTGTAGGCGGCAAATTCAAACACCTTATAGTACACAGCATCGATAGTAAGTTCGTAAATATCGTGGTTGAAAATTTCGACACAGATTAATTTCTAGTTGTCATCAATGTAGACTTCGATGGATATCTCTATGTTTTAAACCATGTTAAATAAACTAAGATACAGTTTAAGTCAGTTAGGATTTAACAGTGGTAGCTTGTGTAAGAATGATCGTTACTGCCTTTTGGTAAGAGCCTTAATATCCTCGATCACACAAGACGTGCCTCTATTTTCGCTAGAAGTACTAAGTGTTCGTGACCGCATGTCTAATTTGTAGATAGACATACGAATGTATGTCAAGTTAATACATTAGCTAAATATAAATAAAGTACCATCTGAAAAAAAGTTAAAAGAAAGGGGAAAGAACTGTTTAGAAATCAATGTGTTATTGTAAGTTTCGGTCTATCAAGGCGATATTAACGCCTTAG